AGAATAATCCTATTAAAGTCAAATTTATCTACTATAAAGAAGAATTTCTTCAGTTGATGCGCTGGAAGAGCAAACTATTAACAGTGTAGTGTAAGTAGTGTATATCAAGTGTGACTTGACTCTGGAACAAAGAGAATATTTGAGACAAATTATTCAGGAGCTCGAGGAACGCTAAAAAAAGAACCAAACTGATATTTGCATTAGGCACAAGTATAGTCTGGCAAGTGATAACTTGGAGAGACGAAAAGGGGAAGAAAAAAGGGACGTAGCCTAAAAATATTCAATGACACCTCAACTGACACCGCCTGATGACAGCCATGTCTTTGGGTTCAGTGGCACCGAAAACACCAGGGAAATAAACCAATAAAATTATTAGAAAAAAATTCTCTAGTTTCGCCAATAACCACGCCACTGCGTGCTGTGGTTCAGACTCTAACCAATAGAATCATGCCTCTAAATAATCACGCCTCTCTACATCCATCATTTCGCAATGTTGTCGGATTTTTTTATATTTCAAAATACTAAAATCTGTTTTTTTTTAAAGATAAAAGTCAAAATGACATTATGTTGGCAATACAATGTAAAATTGTCAATCTTTCAAATTTTTTATGTAGAAAAGGTTTGTGTTGCCAACATAGGTAGTTACTAAATTTTTGACTTGGGAAATTATCTTTAAAAAAAAGAACAGACTTTTACCTATGCTCATACAGCAAAAAAAAAAATGTCACTAACTTGTTTATTATTGTTTCTGTCAAGTTTGGCAATGCAGCAAATTCTATTGGAGTTCGCCGTTTCGCTCATATAAGTAAAAAATTATATAACGCGTGTTCTTGCTGTACCCTGATGCAAAAATGTGTGAGACAGATATATCAACTTCGCATAAGTCTATCGCTCAGCCTGGTTTGGTCTAGTGCGCATGCGTTGAATGCAGTTGAGGTGATTGGTGGGTTGTAAGCATGGTTTTCAGACGATCGCAGTGTTACCAGATTGGGGGATTTTCCCCCAAATTTGGGGGATTTTCAAGTAGATGGGGGAAAATCTGGAGGATAGTTTTTTCTGGGGGATTTTTTGGGGGTAAGAATTGTAAGAATTTTCGCTATTGGGGAAATCGGGTATATTTCAATGAATAAAACTAAAGTAAAAAATGTATTAAAACAACTGCACCATCTATTTTTTCAATCAAGTACCAATAAAAAAGATACAGTTTGCTTCTTCTCCAGTGTTGCCAATGGGCGGATTTTAATCCGATTTGCGGATTTTTTTTGGACGATCGTATTTTTTTCGGATTTTGTAATTCAGAGGATTTTTTGAAGATTTTTTTAGATAAAACGAATAAGGGCATGAAATCCCTCCAAAGCACAAAAAGCCAACATGGCTGCTATGGCAGTATGCAACAAAAGCGTTTGGTGTGGTTTTGAGATTATTTTTTAAACTATCCAAACTTCTTGGTACAACTGTACTTATCTGTTCTGTCACCAGTCACAACATTTTATTTCATTTGTCATTTGTCAATTTATTTTTGGGATTAGAAAAATATAAACAAATAAAAAAGTGGTAAGGGTATGAGTTTTATTTTAAAATATTCAACGAATTTGTCTTTTTTTTTGCAAGTATGAGTCGAGAACAAATCTATATTTATTTGGGGGATTTTAGTTGACAAACAGTGATTTTTGGGGTATTTTTGAAATCCTTTGGGGGATATTAGTTATAACCATCTGGCAACCCTGGACGATCGATAATCTCGTTTTCGTAGTGGACGGACGATGCTCGACGACCAATGCTGTGTAATTATAGGCATGCGTAGATTTGACGGACCGAACTACAAGATAGACTTATGCAGAAATGATATTTCCATCTCACTCATTTTTGCATCAAACGCCTCTCATTGCGTAAATGGAGTACACGCGTTATATAATTTTTTACTTATATGGTTTCGCTAGCCAGACAATAGAATATGTCACAAGTCCATTGTGAATTTATATTGTCGCGATGCGCTTTCGCCATGGTGTACAGAATCTAACTTGAAATCTAGAAAATACTGCCTCATTCGGGCAGAGAGAAAATCGCGTTTATTCTGGATTTTACGAGAATGGATTACAGATATACAAAGGATGGTATCAGTTAGTAATTTTAAGTTTAAGATTGGCTGTGATACGTTTAATATAGTAATTATTGTTGTAAAAGTTAGTGAAGAGTCAAGTTGTTTGAGTTAATTAGTGAAGTAACTAGTGTCAGAGTGTGTAGTACCGTGGAATAAATTATTATTGTATTAATTGGACTCTGATTTTAGAACAAACGTACCCAAGATTTCTGTCACGAACCTCAGAGCCGTGAAATTGGTGTCAGAAGTGAGATATAATTCAAGGACTGCAAAGTGAAATCCGATTGCAGAATAGTGCGGACGATAGTGTGGACACTGAGTGAACATTGGGACAGTTAGTCAGTGACAATCACCAAAAGAGACTTAACCGATTGTGTAAATTACCCCGGAATTGACTGTAGGTATACCCGATTTCGGCTGTGATAGTGAATTTTGTGACTTCACCGACATGTTTGTTATATCAATCGACATTCAGAATAGACATTTCAAAAAAAATTGCGAACATTCTATTCGAGAATAAAGCAAGTTATCCAATTTGTGACTTCATCGAAGTGTTTGGAACTTCAATCAAAAACCAGGAAAGATATTTGAAGAGATTTTGAGGAAAATTCCAGAACATTCTGTATATGCCTATTACGAGGCTACAAGCAAAAATGAAAGAACAAAAAATTGGAATACTTTTGCGCAAAATGCTGGAACTTCAAGAGACCGAACGAGAACAAGAAAAACAAGACGAAGAGGCTAGGCGACAACAAGAAACGACAAGAAGATCTTGGAAAACTGCAGAAAATATTTCAAACCATACAAGAAACTGTCGCTAACCTAGAACAAAATATTGAGGAAGTAATTCACACAACATAAGTCGCCGATATAGAGGATGATTTTATTTTGGGAATGGATTTGAACGGCCAACATGGTTCCTCTTTTGATCTTTCTATCCCTAAATTTGCCAATGAAGAATTTGTTCAACTACACAAGAAGAATTCCAAGCCGTTAAGATCCTGGCCATAAACCCAGTGGGAATTCTTGGAAGTATACTTAGAAGATCATTTGCGAAAAATTGGAAACAAACACTGAGTGATGCGTTGGACCAACACATAATTTTATTGGATATAAACCAGAAAATTTTGCCGTTGGGCAGACTCTCGTAAGAACAAATGGAGACATTATTATAAGAATTGCCAATGTTTCTTCTGAAACAGTGAAAATAAAAGAAGGAGATATTATTGAAACTCTCGAACTATTTAAGCAAATATCGAACTGTGACCTAACAGATAAGCGACATTTTGAAAAATCGAAATTGGATACAGACACCTTGATGCAGATTTTGGAGAAATCATGGAAATACCTCGATCCAGATAGACTTCAAGAAGCCACAGATTTCATCTGGAAAGAAGCAGACGTATTTGTGATGGATAATCAAACCGGACGGACCAGTTTAATTCAACACAAAATTGATACTGGATTGGCCCACCCAATTAGACAACCACCTCGACGTATGGCAGTAACTAAACAACAGGAAGTGGAAAACCAAATTGATAAAATGAGGGAATTATTGAAGAGTCAAATAGTCCATGGTCTGTGCCAGTAATATTGGTTACGAAGAAACATGAGTCTTAGATTTTGTGTGGACTACCGAAAGCTTAATGACGTTACCAAGAAGGACAGCTTCCTTCTCCTGAGAATGGACGATACATTAACAACTCTATCGGGCTCCAAATGGTTTCCACCTTGGATCTCAAAAGTGGATACCTACTGGCAAGAAAACCTGAAAGAAGTTTTTGACCACTTCCGGAATGCCAACTTAAAACTCAATCCAAATAAGTGTTTCCTATTTCAAAAGAAAGTGGAATTCTTGTCACGTGGTATCTAAAGATGGTATACAGGTTATGCAAGGAAATATAGATGCTGTCACTGCTGTCAGGGATTGGTCAAAACCACGCGACAAACAGGAAAGTAAGGGGACGACTTCTGGGGATACATGATTTTGTTCGGGATCATATCCAGCTGGCGAGTGACTTTTGAAGACCAGATACGATTTGAAAGCCAATTTTTGCCGGATTTCAAGAAGGTGATCTAGTGTGGCTCGAGGTGTGGCTGTATAATCCAACAAGAAAGAAAGGAGTATCGCCGAAATTGTCTTCAGCATAGGAAGGACCCCACAGAATAGTCAAGGCGATCAATGATTTGGTTTATCGAGTTCAGCGCAACACCAGGAGTAAAATGAAAGTTATACATCTGGACTAACTTGAAATCTAGAAAATACTGTCTAATTCGGGCAAAGATAATCGCGTTTATTCTGGAGTACAGATATATAAAGGACGGTATTAGTTAGTAGTTTTAAGTTTAAGATTGGCTGTGATACTTTCAAGATAGTGATGATTGTAAAAGTTGTAAAGAGTTAAGTTGTTTGAGTGAAGTAATTAGTGTCAGAGTGTGTAGTAACGTGGAATAAATTATTGTTGTGTTAATTGGACTTTGATTTTGGAATAAACGAACCCAAGATTTCGGTCACGCACCCCAGAGCCGTGACAATATTTTAATAGATGGCCAGCCTATGCTTGTATCAAGCATTTACCGCCCCGAACTAGAAATTAATGTAGAAGGCAACCTGAAACTTCTAAAAGTTAATGAAAAAGCATGCAATTCAGGTATGTCTACTTCAATTTTTGGAGATTATATAATCATCCTCACCAATCCATGTAGCTCAGATTTAATAATTTCATAACTGCCTACAGTGGCGCATCCAGATTGTAGGTCTGGGTTAGTTTGGGTTGGCTCGTACATAAATAACTGTTCCTTTTCAAATGATAAATTTCAATGTTTTAAATGCGACAAAACAACCTTTAACTGTTGTCAAAAAAACTAGCCCTTACTAAATATGAAATTCTTGTTTCAGGAAATAGGAAGTTTACATTTAAAAAGCATATTCAAAAGCAAATGGAAGTTGAAGGAAATCAAGTCTCTAATGAAGAGTTTAACGCTACAAAATCGAAAACTAAATATGAATGTTCAGAAACAAATTTCGATCACGAATTGGAAAGTTCTGATCAATATTTGGGGAGACGTAGTGACTTGTTTTGGAGTCCTAAGTTTTCGTGTCCGTTCGAAGGTTGTTCTTATGTGATTGGTAGAAGGTAGAATTTTTAAAATTTATTCAAATAGTAGGCATATTGGAGGCTTCGGTCGCGACTACAGTTTTTCTATTAAAGATGATTGAAAAAATCATATAAGTCTTTGTTACCTATTCCTTTTAGATTAAAATTTAAAAGACACCTTACCTTATTTCACAATTGGAACGACTCTAAGCTTCAGGAATGGAAAGGAATGGATTATTTTATCGCTCAATATGCTCAAACTTTTAACTGTTTGAAATGTGGTTTCGATGGAATGGATATGAACGGACTCAAAAATCATTTTAGTATGGAGCATAAGATCATTGGGACACACAGCAAAGCTAAACCTACTGTTAAAAAGTAAGTAAAAGTTGGCAGAAAAAATTATTAAGGCAGCTATTTTTTGAAAATTCCAGAACTCAGGAAAAATAGCTGATAGGTACCTAAATGCATCTAGAGGGGTCTGTCTTTTCTAGAAAGTTGCTTAAATGAAAGTGATTAAGTGGTCAATTTTTTATCATTATTTACAAGGCTGATTCACACTATAGTTAAAGTCGCTGTCCACTTAATTTTTTCTACTGAATTGTCGTCATCCTCGCTGGGCACAGTGGTTAAAGCTTTAAACTCATAGCTTGTTTTATGGCGGCAGTATTTTTACTAAAAGTATTACCTACAATAATAAATAATGTATTTTCATTTTAGAAATTCCAGATCTGCTAACCGCTTTTTATTAAAATGTACAAAGTGTACATTTGCTACGAATTTGAAATCGAGTGCCCATCTTCACGGTTTCCTTCATTTTGGACTTAATAAAAAACGCTCGGTAATCTTTCGTAATTATGTCGATTGTAAACGACAAGACGACTTAGTATATCGTTACCCTGATAAAAATATGCTGAAATGCCCAAAATGTAATTTTAGAGGTAAGACTTTTTTTTTATAACAATTTTTAAAGGCAATGGAGATTGTGATTTATGAACCAATTTACAATTATTCTCTATTTTAGGTCTAATTGCAAGAGATCTTAGGAGGCACATGTTAAATGTCCATTCACTAAGAGCCCGAAATCATTTATCAGATTGGAATATTAGAATAACAAAGCAACGAATGGAAAGAAGGAAAAAATTGAGACAAAAGAACCAAAAAAATACATCAGACATTAACGAAAAAGAAATATGTGAAATATTAGTTACTCAAAATAATAATGATTCTGCATTGAAAGGCGAAAATAATGAAGTCATAAAAATATTATTAGTTGATGATGCTGACGATTTTCCTGAACAAATTAATTCAAACAGTGAAAATTTAGTCACATGTACCATATGTGAAAAGCAATTTCTTTGTAAAGCAGACTTACTAATTCACATCAATGCAGAACATATTTTAATGCCTACACCTGAACCACCAAATGTAGCTAGAATGAAGACAGGTTTTGTACCGCCTAGCATTGAAGGCAAAGTCAGTTTCATATGCTGTTTATGTAAGCAAGTACTTTTTTGTACCAGTTCACTGAAGAATCATACCAGCATTCACAGTAAAGCAGCAAACAATTCCAATCTTAGAGTTACATTTACGAAATTCAAAGGCGACCTCAAACTGAATAAGGTGACTATCAAAGCCGATCCGAATTATGTTCCGAGAAAATCCAGTAATGTGAGTTGCACTGCAAAACATACGCCAAAAGATAAACATCCTGTTTTGGATTATAGTTTAAAATTGAAAGTTTTCAGTTGTGAGGAATGCAATTTTAAAACTAATGAAGAGGACAATTTGACAAAACACAAGAAATTGCATTGGTCCAATGAAAAAGAGGAAATTTATAAATCAAAAAAATGGTTTACTTGTAAGCATTGTTCTTATTATAGTTTCGATGCGGAGAGGTTTGAAAAGCATGCTGAAATGCATAAAATCAGCGCCAATTTAAGCTTGTATGTTGATTAATTGAAATAGTTTTATGGCAGAGAAATTTTTTTCATAGAAATAATAACCACCAAAAAGAAATTAAATATTGTTGTAGGTATTGTATCCCATACAATGAATCATAAATATGTTATTTTTAATAAATAATTGAAAAATTGAGCATTGAAGACTATCATTTCACAGGTTAAGGTCACCAATATTGATGAGATAATGAAAAATTATAGGATTTTTTTTTCTTCTTCTTGATTGAGTCTGAGTTTTAACTTAAGTTGAACTAGAGAATAGTTTAAGCATTTGAAGAGAAAAAAGTCAAACCATTTAACATGTTAACTGCCAAGCCATATAGTGTACCTAGTATTTAAAATAGAGTGATATTCAGGTCACCAGTAACCTATGCAGCGCAGCAAGCTTTTGAGCTGCTTCTGAATAAGGCCATAGTATTTAAAATGTATTTTTCTACTGACGTTTCATAATAGCAACTTTTCGATTGTCATTTCAGTTTTGAAACGACATTCTTTTAGGCACTGAGTGCGTGAAAGTTACTTTTAGGCACTCAGTGCGTAAAAGTGACTTTTGAATGCGTAAAAGTGACTTATGAGTGCGTAAAAGTAATTTTTAAGCACTAGTGCCTAAAAGTGTCATTCATTATTCAGAAATAAAAAACACACTAAACACATATTTGAATTTTGTTTTGTATTTATTATGAATATTGAAAATGGAATTACTGAATTGAGCGTTTGGGTTACTCAAAACAGAAGTTTGTGTTATTACCTACTTTCTAGGATTTTAATTATTGATGTCGAATTTTGAAAAGAAAATCGCATGAAAAGTGTCAGGTGTGAAGTAAAAGCAGGTAACAAAGATTTTGGGTGTAATCGACTTATTCACATGAAATAAAATTGTGTTTTTTTATTATAAAATGCCAGTAGAAAAAATCTTGTATACAATACGTTACGAAACGATGTCTTTTAGTCACTCGACGTGTTGTCCAACTCGGCTTTGCCTCGTTGGACAATTTTCACGTCGCGTGCCTAAAAGACGCTCATTTCGTAACTTATTGTATAAATAGCTATTTTCTACTGACGTTTCATAATAGCAACTTTTCGATTGTCATTTTAGTTTTAAAACAACATTCTTTTAAGCACTGAGTGCGTGAAAGTTACTTTTAAGCACTCAGTGCGTAAAAGTGACTTTTGAATGCGTAAAAGTGACTTTTGAGTGCGTAAAAGTAATTTTTAAGCACTAGTGCCTAAAAGTGTCATCCATTATTCAGAAATAAAAAACACACTAAACACAGATTTGAATTTTGTTTTGCATTTATTATGAATATTGAAAATGGAATTACCGAATTGAACATTTGGGTTACTCAAAACAGAACTTTGTGTTGTTACCTACTTTCTAGGATTTTAATTATTGATGTCGAATCTTGAAAAAAAAATCGCATGAATAGTGTCAGGTGTCAAGTAAAAGCAGGTAACAAAGATTTTGGGCGTAATCGACTTATTCACATGAAATAAAATTGTGTTTTTTATTATAAAATGCCAGTAGAAAAAATCTTGTATACAATACGTTACGAAACGACGTCTTTTAGTCTCTCGACGTGTTGTCCAACTCGGCTTTGCCTCGTTGGACAATTTTCACGTCGCGTGCCTAAAAGACGCTCATTTCGTAACTTATTGTATAAATAGCTATTAAGTCAAAACGGAAAAACATTGTTGTACCTACAACTTTTAAAAAATTCTAGACACCTTTACACTGGTTTAACACTTTATTGGATATAATTGAACATTTTCGTTTTCTATGAACTTCATAATCCTTATTATAAATCCATTTAAGTCAACTTTACAAAATAATATAGTAGTATATAGGGTTTAGTTTAGTCGAATTTATTCACTATCATTGGCAATACAAATAATGTAAATTGTACAAAACCTTATTAGAAATAATTCCAAAAAGTATCACATAAGTGCCTAGCGATTTGGTATGGTTCATAGACATATCCTTGCAGTTGCTTATGAAGACATGTTCTTGATAACTATTGGCACTGAAAGAAAATCAGAAAAAAAAATTATGCTATTTTATATTTTAAATTAAAAAAGTTACTAAATTTTATTTCACCTGATCTTAGTTTCACCAGTGTTCATACTTTTGACATAATTTGCTTTTCGTTGGTTCTTAAACCAGAAGTCATTCATTTAATCAAAAAAAAATGAATATGTCATACTCGATGTCATATGAATTAATCTACGACAACCCTTTTTTTTTCAAGTTTCAAGGTCACGTATGAACCCTAGTGAAACAATCTGTAGCTTGATTTTTAAACAAGCAATTATTTTGCAACTTATCAGAATAATTTCCATATTAATAATTTGTGATAATGATAATCTCTTCATTGACAGCATTTTGCTAGCAACCAACAAACACTATTAATTTATTATTCACTTATAACAGTTACAATTTATCATACTGGGCTTCATGCTTCATGTTAGGTAGTGATGTGAAATTCCCGAAACATTCAAAAGCCACAAACATTCTCGGAAACTTTCCGGGAATATTGGAAACTTTCAGGAACTTATGGAAATATTGTTTTTTTTTTTTTTAATTTATAGCTAAATCAGACAAATCGTAGTAACCCTTATTTACCCATTATTGTGGTGTACTGACTATAGACTATAAACCAAGAAAAATACCTATCTTTTTCTGTAAGATCAGCTAAAAATTAAACTATGTAGAGTCCGCGTCAAGAGAAAAGAGTACGGTGACGTCAATTGCGCACAAACCCAATTTTGAAGACTAACAGAACTATCGTATCGATCCGTGCTGCTGCCGAACGCCAAGCACGTGGTTCATTGTTGTCCGGCCAGCAGGTATATTTATTTAGTTTATTTTCTATCCAAGTTTTGTCTAAAAAGATACCCCGCTGCTGGTTTCAGCTCACGGTCGAGGTCATGGCAGACAGCGAGAGATAGACGAGGGAGAGAGATCTGACCCGCTTCGCGCAGCTTTCTGTGTCGTCACCGTAGTCTTTACTGCTGACGCGGACTCTAGTAAAAACACTTTTATGGACGGTTTAAAATAAAAGCTGATCCGATTAGCCCAATCTCTCAGCTCTTTATTTTTTATCTTTCTTCACTGAAGATTATTTTTTAAAAAGACAAATTGTAGGTACATCAGCTGGTAATCTGGTAAATCGGATCAGCGTTTCGGTAAAGACAGTCAGACTGGGCTACATTATCCACATAAATTGAAATGGCGTCACTGAGACCTTGTATTCACAATAATCTCGCATTTTTATAAAATTCTTCTGGAAAGTTCTTGCAAATATTCTCAAAAGTTCTCGGAAATATTCTTTTGAGAGTTTTTGATTGAAAGTTTCTGGGAAAATTCTCATTCAGGAGAACGTTTCCATTTTTTATCACCGAATATTCTTGGAAATTTCCCAATGTTCGATGGAAATATTTGACTCACATCACAAATGTTACACTTTACAGCACTTATTTGCCAGCGATTGTTAGTTATTTTTGGTTTGAGGATTGAATTTTCGATATGTAATCTCTTGGGAAGTTAGATCATAAATGGGTATCATGTAGTTTATTTTCCACAGCTTTGTAAATGGTCTTCCTACAATAAATATACAAAAATAAAGCAATTTTGATTTGATTTGGAAAGTGCCACTTTAGTGTGCGGTAAAGTAGACTTTGGTATTTATGTTACGCTCAATAGTCGAATTCGGGCAATGCCCGAAAAAAATACGCAAAACTAGTTTTGAGCAACAAATATTTCCCAAACCCACAATTTTAATTTTATACGCTTATTGCGCATTACAAGATAAGCAGAACTAGTTTTGCGCTTTTTGAAATGTATAATACTAGTTCTGTACATTTCTGAATGACCAGCACTAGTTCTGCTTCTATTACCGCTTACAACCTCCCAAATCCAGATAAAAAGTAGGGTTATGTTGCTATAATTTTTTTCTATAATTTAATTCTATAATTAACCAATAGCAGGCGGTGAAACCGATGAAGCTATTGTGTCTTTTGATATGAGAGTTTGTTTCTGTTTATACACCATAATGAACCATCCTATTAAAGTCCTGTTTCAATTCAGAGTCCACTTTGTTCTTAAATGCATTAATAGAAACGACGGAAATTGTTTCTTCCTGTAGAGCGTTCCAGGAGTACACAACACGATTCACTAAGAAGTTTCTTCTTACCATTTTCGATGTCTTTTCTTTCTCTAGTTTTTTAGAATGGCCTCTAAGCTGGTTATTTTGACTTGGATGAAAAAGGTTTTTAATATTGCACTGATAGTGGCCGTTAGTTATTTTAAACGTCTCTATTAGATCTCCCCTGTGTCTCCTCTCTCTAAGGGTTGTAAGATTGAGCCTTTCTAACCTTTCTGTATATGGTAAGGACCTAAGTTCTAGAGGAATTTTTGTAACTCTTCTCTGAACCCTTTCTAGGAGTTCAATGTCCTTTATATAATAGGGATTCCACACAGTAAATGCATATTCAACTTTTGGCCTTATGTAACTTTTGTACAGCTTCGTTATCATTTCCACTGAATGGTCCCTAAAAGCTTGCTTTATGAGATATACAAAAGAGTTTGCTTTTTTCGTTATTTTCTTTATATGTGTCTCCCATTTCAGATCAGATGTTATAATGACTCCTAGATCATTCTGTTCTTTCACTGATGTGAGGGTCGTGTTATTAAGAGTATACTGTGTGTTTGGATTGTTTGGCCCAATTCGAAGCACTGTACATTTTGATGCGTTTAGCTTCATCCCCCATGTTCTGGACCAGCTTTCAATATTTTCTAGGTCTGTTTTAAGTAAATGGGCACCAATAAGTGGATTAATGTACAGTTTTCCATCGTCTGCAAAGTTTTTCATTGGACACTGTATGATGTCAACCAAATCGAAGAGGTAAACAGTAAAGAGTAAAGGTCCCAGGACCGAGCCCTGGACAACTCCGCTGCTCACTGGATGCCGGTTGGACAATACTCCATTAGCTCTGACTTTGTAGTGTCTTTCATTAAGTGAATCTGTTATTAACGTTAGCAGCTGTCCTCGTACTCCAAAGTGCTCTAATTTGCCAATAAGTAAGTTATGTGGGACTTTGTCAAACGCCTTTTCATAGTCAAGATACACCAC